CTCCCTCTGACCCTCCCCCCTCTCATGTGCTCTCTCTCATTCTCTCTCTCTCAAATAAATAAATAAAATCTTTAAAAAAACAAAAAACAAAAAACTATATTTTGTAGTTTATGAAAACTGGGCAAAACAATGCACAGAAAAAAATATTAACTGACAACAGATAAGTGAAAAATGAATATGCTCAAGGTCTTAGGTATACGTAAATTAAAAGAGCACTTTCCTGACCATCACATAAACAAAAATTTACATCATTCTCATGTGTCATTAAGCCTGTTTTGAAAACAAAAGAATCCTAAATCCAGAATTCTATTTTTTTTTTTTTTAAAGATTTTGCGAGAAGGAGAGCCTGGCGGGATGGGGGGTGGGGGGGAGGCAGAGGAAGAGAGAAGCAAACAACCCACTGAGCAGGAAGCCCAATGTGGGGCTCAATCCCAGGACCCTGAGATTATGACCTGAGCTGAAGGCAGACGCTTAACTAATTGAGCTACCCAGGCACCCCCAGAATTCTCGTTTTCTTAATCAATCCTGAAGAAGTACTTGTATGTAATACAAGTATATAATACAATAATGCTCATTATGGCACTGTTTTTATTAGCAAAATATTAGACTGGCTAAATTATGATGTATCTATATATGGATGTTAAAAAGAATGGGTTTTGTAGAGTCATCAAACTCACAGAAAATAGAAGGGTGGTTGCTGAGGGCTGAGTTTCGATTTGAGATGAAAAAGTTCTGGAGATGGATGATGTTGAAAATTACACAACAATGTGAAAGTATGTAATGCCACTTAAGTGTACACTTAAAAATAGATAAAATGATATTGTTATGTGTATGTATGTTTTACCACTATATGGAAAAAAAAAAAGAATAGGTTTTATATGTACTTACATAGTAGTATACTTATATGGACAGTCCCCAATATATACTGTTAAGGGGACAAAGTATGTTGCAGAATAATAAAGTATGATCCCATTTACCTTAAATTTTTTAAAGGAGAGATACATACAAGTAAATCTATGTAAACATTGAGAAAGAGACTTTGAATAACATGTAAAACTATTGATGGTGGTTTCCTCTAGAGATTAAAGCTAACCTTCATATTTTGTTCTGCCCAATTCTACTGTAATCTTTCATAATATATTCATGCATTATTTGTATAATCTTAAAAATCTCGTCAACCTAATTTTAAAATAGATGGCTTAAAAACTCACTTTTGTGATGATAACTTCTTGCTTCTGGCCAAGTCTATGGCATCTGTCAAAGCACTGATCTTCAGCAGCTGGATTCCAGGCCTAACAAGAATATGAATTGCTTTATTACCACCCTGATCTGTAAGTGTTCTGCACAAATCCTTTCATTTCAGTATTACTCATTAACCTTTTACTGACACAAATTTTTTGACTGAATTCAGATACTGACATAAATGCTCTGGGAAAAAAAATACACCCCACCCTCAACTATGACAGGCAGGTATTCTCCCCCATCAGTTCACTGCACTGCTTCTAGTATCTAATACAGTGCCTGATACATAGAAAGCACACAGCATGAGCGATTAAGTAATCAAATAGTATCTTTTTCTACTTTAAAATTGATCTATGTCTGTTAACAAAGGAAAAAAAAGGTTACACATCCTCTTAAATGACAATTTATATCAGAAAAGATATGTAATTGAGTCTATGAGAAAGTTTTCTCCCCTTTTCATGGTCTTTTGATTCTTTTTCTTTCACTTTCTTCCATTTGTTAAGTAAAAGCACAAAAAAAGATTTCAGGAATAATCAAAAGTCCTAAAAATTAAAGGCTTTGTTGATGCAATTTTCTGTATCTGTATTTGAATGTTTGACTTCAAAATTGAACTAAAATAACATTAACTCATTAAATACAGGCATTATCATGGGGACTGTTTTAAAGTGAAGAATAAAACAATGAAGCAAAGAAAAAAGCAAAATGATACAGATTCTTCAGTCTAGAAAGATAGGAGCCGGGCGCCTGGGTGGCTCAGTTGGTTAAGCGACTGCCTTCGGCTCAGGTCATGATCCTGGAGTCCCTGGATCGAGTCCCGCATCGGGCTCCCTGCTCGGT